GTCGGCCGCCCGCACGAGAGAGACAGAGAAGGAAATGTAATGAATCCTACCTACATAATAACTTAACCCCACAACTGAGACCTGCAGTCAGACACCGCGAGCTCAGCGGTGGGGCGCTCAGGAACAATCCCCCTAGGAGCGCGAAATCCCATAGGACTTCTGACGAGCACAGACACGCGTCAGAAGTCCCCCCTAGCTGAGGGGGACGACTGAAGAGGAGTAGATTGTCTTTACTCACAGCATGAGCATCACGTCGCTCCATTGTCATGTAATTGTGAGCTCTATCGTCATGTAATTGTGTTATTGTCATGTATTGTGTGTGTGGGAGCCTTCAATTGTAAAAGTAGCTCAGAGATTCGTTTTATTGCATTATGAATCCTATACATTAAGATGCCATTATTAGGCCAGCATGTAAACTTCAAGAACGATAACATTATATCAGCCAGGCAGTTGCACAATTAAAAAAGAATTTTTTCGTAATTATGAACTTATTTTTCAAACTCTTAAGAAGTGCTCAACCCGGAAATGGACGTAATGTCCCGCGAGAAGCCAGACAGCGATATTTTTTCATCTCATTTTCCTAATCTCCAACATCAACAAATGAGACCAGTGAGAAAGCCTGCTCACCTTTCGAAGCGGAATTCGAAGTACCTTATTAAGAATTGTTCTTCAATTAAGAACTTTTTATGATCGGCCAGATCCTAACGAGCAAAGCAAGTCGGGCACCCGCATAAATTTCCCCGCCAAGCTCAACGCAATGCCTCCGTTCGAAAGCAACATAGCGAATAATTCTGGCTGCCCGCATTGATAACGCTAACTCCAAGTAGCAGAGAAAGTGGTCTCCGCAAGAAGCCCGGCCACGCCACTCTTCTCGAAATCGAATCCACTTTATAAATAATGTGCGAGGTTATCAAGATCTATCTCCTGCACGAGCAATTGTATTGAGCTACAAGAGGCTTAAAATTAAACCTAATAGCAAAAAAACAAGCAGAACAAGCTACGGTGGTGAAGGAGGGTCGATTGGTTCAAGACCTGCAAGCCCCGCCAATATTTTGTAATAACGAAAAATTGTACCTTTCATTCAACTCTTTTACTGTAGGATCATAATAAAGTAACTGTAAAACATAATACAGGAATGAGGTTTCCATATCCACTGCAGAAATGGGATTTATAGCTAATTATTACTCGCAAACTGAAAGATGTGAGTAGAGCCTTCACATAAAATAGAATATAATAGAATAGAATAGAAGTGTCGGCGTTGAAGAAATAGGCCCATGGCCTGTTGCCGATTCTTGAACTTTTCGTGACTTGATTCACAAGGGATCCGGCCTTTGGAACCCGATCTTTCCATAGCTGACGACTGATTGAGATAGCTGCTGGACTTATTACCTGGTCCGTAATTTGCTACATGTACGTGTATGCACACAAAAATACACAAGCGGCACATTTACAACCGGCACACTTAAAGCCAAATCGAATTGATTCGTTTCTAAATTATTATTTATAAAGGCAGTTCTATTTATTTATACAGTTCCAAACGCGCAAGGTTCGTAACAAATGAAGAGGCAGGAAACATTGTAATCAAGCAGCATAGGGTCGGGCGACACATTCCATGGCCCAGTAACCTGAAGTTCACACGGACAGCGCGCCATCTATTGGGGCCAACTCTAAATTGCCGCTAATTTCCAAACTTACGGCCACGACACAATGGAAAAGCCGATCTGTAAGAAACGTGACATAGACAGCACAATTGCTAGTCACCTTTCAAGCTATTCATTAAAGAAATAAGAAGAAATTCCGTGCATAATACCCACGATAAAAGAAATCAATACAATCCATATATGAATATCGGCTATCACACCCTAATTACAGCAAAAAATTAAAACCTCATTGAATTTTGCTATCAGTTCGACGACTGAACAATTATTAGGCTTACAGCAGCACAATCTTCAGAATAATGCTTATAAAAAAAATAATCTAGAACAGATTAAAAATAATCGTGGTGGCGATCGCTCTACAGTACTACACTTCGTTTCGGTTAAAGGAAATACGCCAAGACGGCCTAACAAGTGAACTGTTTTCTCCATCACTTCGCTGGACAAGCCTCGCTCTGCCAGCTGACGGTCGCTTTCTTGACGCGCGACAGGTGAAGCTTCATAAGCTTGCACGAGGTGCTGTGCACGAGCAGTAATTCTTATATTTCAAACGAAAAAATATATTTCATACAATGCTGTGAATTAATTGTTTCACAAAAAGATCATGTCAGACCCTAAGGATTTGCCCGCAAGTTTGCATGAGGTGTTGCGTTTCTTAGCTTCCCGAATCATTTCTAATTAGGTTTGTCAATCTTCCGCCAGTGGATTCTAATTAATCAATTTGAAATTTCTAGTTTATTCTAGATTATTGAGCAATCAAATCTGAATTTCCCAATTTTTGTTAATGTTATACCGTGAAAATGTTAGCGAACTTGCGTACGCCGACGATAACCAATAAATTGGCAAGAAAGTGCAACTAGGAAATTACGAAATAAGCGCAACATTCAACGATATATTTCTGCCCTTGATAGACTGTAAGTGGGAATTTGTTTAGTGGTAATTGGCGATGCATTTACATCAAGAATTTGCAAATTCTAACTAAGCCTTGGTGCAATTAATATAAACATACTTTACAGTACAGGACTACTCGTGTCAGTCGATTAAAGTTTTCTATTCAATAGCAAACTCACAGGTTGGTTTAAGAAAGCTAGTATATAAAAACTTCAAAATGAAGGAGTTCCATTTATATTTTTTTTAACGAAGGAAGATTCAATAACTGTGAATTTCATTCTTCAAAACAAATGCTAACTTTTTCTCAGAATTAGATGGCCAGTACCTTATTTTTTATTGCTCATGACAGATTTCTATAAGACTACGGTGAAAGTTGCTCCCGGGATATCGTATCTCATTGACACACGCAGTGATGTTCGCCGGACTCGTATCAGGACACGGTGACGACTTTCGTTTCTGTTTGTCTACCCCAGGCACGCAACGCCGGGGCAAGTACCTACACATTATTATTAGTCTGCTTGTATCGCAAGTTAACAAAAATTTTAAAAACAAAAAAAAAACACCACGTATAATATTCATTATTATTTTATTTTCGTTGTAGATGTAGACAAGATGAAGGTAGTTCATGATGTAAAGCGGAAGATAAGAAGGATTAAAATGAATCTACTAGGCATTTTCCTCATTTTTAAATTCTTGACAATTAAATGCGCAGCAGCCCATGATGAATGCTGGATTGCTCATTCCAATGCATGATCTCTCTCAATCCCAGTTTAGAAAGTTGGCCAATAAAAGTTAATAAAAATCAGTTTAAGATTTGAAATTTGAAAATAAATTATTATTATTTTTAACAATATTTTGTCCTCAGTGGAATTTATTCGGCAGAAAAGTCATTCAACTTCATTTATTGAAAAGGTTTTATTTTTACATGCATTTTGTTAATGCATACATCAGATCCACAATTTTATTAAACTTGAGTTTCTGATGCATTTTCTTCTGTTGTCTTTTCCGAATGCCGATTGTTAAATCAAATAAAACTTTACCAGGCAGAAGCAGCTGGCGTTGATCCAAGTGATCAGGTATTCGGAAGTGGACACCAAACTGACCTCGACTACCCAACCTAACTTGTCCGCACTCCCCAGGGCAAGCTAGTGACTGGGGACTGAGAAGTTCGAAGCATTAATTCGGTTGGCCCCAAGCGAAAGTAAATGCGTCGAAACAAATTTACAGGAAATTTACGACACATGATAACAACAGTAGGCAGGTTTCAAGACATAAAAAAGCACATAATTCTATAAACCGCTAAAATCGATACAAGATTTTCACACAACGTCCACGGGTGACACCAACAAGATGTTCACACACAGTACAGTGAGTACACGAATGATACCGACACTTGGGGAGAAAATGCATGCATTGCAGCGCTGGACCGTCACGCCAGCTAACTGGAGTGAGCATGAACACAGCACGGAGCAGAACTCGTGCATCTCGGTGTCGAATCGTTGCTGAGAGGCACGACACACGATGTGCTGCCTTGCCTTTGTTTATACTGAGCCAGTCATGGAATTGTAGCAATGCGGGGATGTGAGAGTTGTAGTGATCCAGACCGTTGGCAATGGTAAATAAAGGCAAACCGCTATATGATTTTTTTTATAAATGATAAGCGGCGTCTGATTACAAGTTATTATATACCAGCGCACAGCCACAGTCAGTCTTGGTGAGAAGTTATTTTTAAACAGTCCCACAGTCTACAGGCGGACAATTACGCTTGGTTACAGGTTAATGCAAGCAGCTCACAGCCACCAAGTGTCGCTCGGGTATAGGGGTACGTACCTTAGAGCAGCTACCTATATATTTACGTTCGATTACAGGTTGATACAGCTACACAGTCCCGCTTGGTTGCAATAGTCCAGACTAAAACTACCTATATATCCAAACTGGAATGCAGGTTACTTGAATGGAGCCTACACCTACAGAGTCACGCTCAGTTGAGCAGCGGTCACCAGAGAGGCTACGGTAGGCACGCGAGATGCCGTTGGAGCTCTCGATCGCTTTACTTTCATCGGCTGCTCGGAGCTGACCACTTTCGTGCAGCGGACCAAGAGCTGCGTCACGAAGACGTCGTCTTCTTTGACGATGAACGCAAGCGGACCAAAGATTGTCCGATGTAGGCTAAGTCCGCGCGTCCAAAGACGCACGGGGAAAGGAAGATGAGCCGCAGCAAGACTTCAAGATGAAGCGGTGTGTCAGGCATACTGCCTTCTAAAAGTAAATATGTTACCGGATTTTTAACACTGTTCAATTGAGATAGAGTTTACATAACATACACTGGTGATAAAATGTTAGGATGAAATCTAACTGCACGCTTCGATTACGTAAGCCAGCTACTCCTGCAACACAAGAGATGCTCCAGATATCATAAATCTCTGCAAAACATAATAAGTTACTAAGGCTCACCTTCTTTACTGCAGAATGAGGATGCCATCGATGCTCATGTTTAGAACATTTGCTGCGCTGCTTGCACTTCAACCATCCACGTCGAACATCTTGTTTAGATGATTGCTGTTCACCACGATTCGATGAGAATTTTATACACAATGCGAATGCAGAAAGTGAATTACAATTGAACTAAATTTTATAACAAGAACATTCAATGCCATGAGGCAAATTTTGAACACCTTGTAAAATCAAAAGTGAAAAAACGATGAAATGTGTAATACAATCCATCTGATAGAAGAAAGATACGGAGAGAGCGGCTTACGCGCGTTCTTAATTATGTCTGCGAGTTTAGAGGTTACATGTTATCCTACTTAGGAATGACATGGCATTGTAAGATTACATTATAGCTACAACCTTCAAATCACAAACTAGCAGAGGCGGCGGGAACTCAGGGAAGAAATGAGAATTTTAATTTGATTTATTATTCAATTCATTTATTGAACACATCATTGTTCAAATTTATTACTTTGAAAATTAGCAACATTTTTCAGAATTATCTCTTTCTGTATTTTCAAATCTCTGGGATTATTTTTTTGTATACAGAACAACATTTTGTCATCAATGGAATTGATTAGGCAGAAGTTAATTTATTGATTGTGGATTTGATTAGGCAGAAGCTTAACCCTGGGTTAAGCTGCTACTGCTACATAAACCCAACAGGCAATTCAAGTGGAAAAATCGCGGATTAACATTGATTCAAGCAAACGACCTGTAATTCAAAGTCGATCCAAGGTAAGTTGTCTGGTGTAATCGTGCGCTCAAAGAAATACCTACCTTTTGACGTCGTAGCAACTGGCAACAATAGTGAATAGGTAAACAGAGAAAATTAGCAATAGGCCTTATTCGTTATGCAAATGAAAATAGTAAAGAAACTTCATCTAAGCACTAATCAACACAATCGAAGTCTATGAAATTAAGGTAGGTATAATTTTTAAAGCGCGTTATCATGTCTTCACCGGAATCCGGATACTAATCCGTCGTAAGTAAAGCAGAAAGTAATCAGCTTTCGAAAATCCTGCTAATTTAGACGAACAACGTTATCACTAAATTGAAATTTCTAGAACATTTGACTTAAATCAAATGTCAACGAGTAAATCTGACAACTTTCACTAGAAAATCATGGTATAAAAACTGGATTTCAGCGGCGCACGAGCCATTGTAAGGTGACAAAGTGTAGCCTCGAGAGCAGACCGTCGAACCCCTCACTTGCTTATGGTTGGAGGAAGACTGATAAGTGGTAGTGGTTAGGCGTTAGGCGGGCCGTTGGACTCGCGAGTCTTCTAAAGAATATATGTAATGGAACCACGTTCAGCACGTACCGAAAGTTGTCAACCTTCTTTGGCATCTATCTTGATTAAACATTCGTCCTAGCCACTTTTGAACATTGTGCCTGTACCTGGAGTTGAGAACTGATAAGAATATTACTAGCAATGTATTTCCCATTCATGACTATCAATATCCGCTTGAGACTGTTCACCTATTGTTTTCATCTAACCTCTAACTATTCCTTATATGGGCATCTCTAAAATTTTGAGTTTCATCATTCATATTTTCTTTAATTTTATTGCAAACTATTATTTATTCATATAATGATATTAGCACATAATAATATTGTCTGAAGGCTTCCACGCAAACTCACTAAACATTTACATAATTATTGCTGAAGAGTTTTTCTTACCGGCCGTTTAGAAAAAATAGAAACTTATTGCTTGGAGCCATTATTCAATTTTCGAGCACTTCACGCAATTGTGTCAAAAATTCTGGATTTGCTCACTGTGACCAATTTTTCCGCCATAACAAGCGCAATCAAATTACTCTTAATGACACATCTGTATTATTTTATTCCTTTTTGCGTTGTTAATGAATTGGGTTGATTTCAGAAACTTTATTTATGAGAAATAAATGTTTGAAGACTCATTCATCAAATTCTGCTCACTTCAGCATTGATAACATTAACTTCACACGGTCCAGGCCTCAGGAATTAATAAGATATGTCGATGCGAGTGTATTCCATCACAAAAAAAATAATTAATATTAATTTAACCTAGGATAGGTCTTGCATTTCAGATAAATTATTTGAAAATTCCGCATTAGTAATAACGAAATGAACAGGATAAATCGTGGGCATCCAGAAATCAGAAAGCTGAAGTGGTCATACTTTCATTTTTATAAAATGCCGGTTAGGGAATGCAATCAATCTAGCAAATTTTAGGAATTTTGTGCTTTGGCGGCATTGCTTGAGTCATGAAGAAAGCTAGCGTCATACACGCGATCTTTAGTAAAGTGCTAACCAAGCAGAGGCTGCTCCCTCCAAGTTCCTATACCAGCGAAAGTGTGCGGCAAAAGCCTGCAGCTTGTCGACTTTTTCCAACAGAGATCATGACGTTTTTATGAAGATACCAACTCTTGTTTCGATCCAGCTTTTGGTCGAGGGGGAAAAAGCTCGTATCATACTGTTAGTAACGCAGTGGAAAAAAAAATGCAAAACATGTGCTCTATATAAAGCTTTCGTCCGAACACGGCTTTTCATGAAATGTAAATTTAAAATGCTGTCTTCACAAACAGTTGGTTAGTCCTTGAAAAAATATACGTTCCAATCTCATGACAGCTACGCCAATTGGCCTTGTTGAAAAAAGGATTACCCATAATAATAATTTAATAATAATAAGCCCATAATTTGGTGACTTTTTGTGATATAAGCTGAGTAAAGATTTTGAAACTTGAATGATCTTTGTACATTTGTTATCGTACATCTTACACTTGTACATCTTGCACTTGTACATCTTGCACTTGTACATCTTGCACTTGTACATCTTGCTTTTGTACATCTTACACTTGTACATCTTGCACTTGTACATCTTGCACTTGTACATCTTACACTTGTACATCTTGCACTTGTACATCTTGCACTTGTACATCTTGCACTTGTACATCTTGCACTTGTACATCTTGCACTTGTACATCTTGCACTTGTACATCTTGCACATCTTGCACTTGTACATCTTGCACTTGTACATCTTGCACTTGTACATCTTGCAGTTCAACATCTTGCATTTGTACATCTTGCACTAGTACATCTTGCACTTGTACATTTTGCACTTGTACATCTTGCACATGTACATCTTGCACTTGTACATCTTGCACTTGTACAGCTTGCACTAGTACATCTTGCCCTTGTACATCTTGCACTTGTATTCTAATTTCGATCAATTACTAAAACTATCTATCGTTCTATCTATTGCTTACAAAACCCTACTTATTTAATCTAGTCTAGTTGTTATTAAACACTCAATTGATATTTTATATTTCAGTACGCAGTCATTACTTTTACGGTGATATCTTCAGCTCTGCGTGGTAAGCATTTGGCAATTAGCCCAAAATGCTTCTGAGATGAGAATAATTCATAACTATATGGATAATAGACTGATAACATATGAACTTCAGTTGAAATTGAATGAACAGCAATAGTGAACAAAATGTTACGACCTGCTGTATAACTATTGTAAACATCCTAACTTAATTTTAACATAGCATTGATAACGGATAAATGTAAACAACCAAAGCACGAGGGTCTATGATGACGCGTGCTTTTTAACGCGAAGCGATAATTGATAGAAAAGAAACTCGGGAACCCGTGACTTGATCACATCAACCTGCCCCCTGGAGACGTGGTTTCTAAACCGGCAAGTCTTCGCTAGCCAGCAAACACCTCGAGCTGTGCACTGACACTGCGAGCAATCATTTTGTATCATTTAAACATTACAATATTTTTTACTTACAATGTATCGGCTTTTGTAGTTGTCTCTCATGATGCTAAGAGCCAACGGGTATTTATAGTTAATGCTGGAAATTCATAATCTCAACAGAGAAGATGTTAGATGATATCAACGTAAGATATCAACGATGCTAGTATTAATTTAGTTGAGTGAAACATTAGATTCAACATCGCTGCAGCCCTAAATTTGATCAACTTTTGCATCTGTCACAATTGATATGAATTTTAGTGTTGTTGCGGAATATTAAAAACTTTAAAGCGCAACTTTGATCTATTCCATGCAGGATTAATTGAAAATCTGTGCATCCCGGAATTCTTCCATCTCTTTATTACCAGGTACAAAGTGGTGAGTCGAAACCGGTAACCATGGAGGTAATATGTATTTCTACGAGGTACTACATTTGTTTACAATATTCGTAAAAATTGACATTCAAATAATAAAAGAAGAACATTTATAAATATCAGCAATTAAATCTTCGAGAATGACAGCTAAGAAGCTCACCAAAATTTATTCCTGCTCCCAGATAAGTACATAGTTCCTCCACAGCCGACGAACAAGAAATGAGCCGGAGTTCCGGCAAGAAATCCAAAATTTAAGCTTACAATCCAGAGAAAATGTGTAGGAATGAAATCACAAAATTATAGATATTTTTGGCGGTGAAAACTACCATGAAGTTCGCGGTAGTTTGACCAGTTTTGAACTATTAAATTCAACAGGGTGAATGATGGAGTGGGAGACTCTGAAGAAACCGATGTTGTGCGTTATTAAATGCTAGAAAATAAGTACATATTTAGATAAATTCATGTTAAAAGACGAAAATTTATCAGTCGTGACGGCTCAAAACTTTCTTCAAACTAATTACCTGTCGGCTTTTCGCAATCAACACGTAAGATATGCATTGCAACAGTAAGTATGTTCAATGCATGCACTTGCAATTGGTTGTGCGTATTATGAGTAACAAAGTGATACGACTGAATCTCATTCACTGATTATTCGTCAAATATTTTGCCTGGCATTTGTGTACAGTAGATATTTACAAGTATGTAAACTGCATGAACTTTGCTACGTGAAATTTCCCGTAGTCTATCAATATTATTATTTCTCAGCTTAATCATGTTATCGATAATTGATGTGGTAGATCTTATCTATATTAAATACTAGAATATGATAGAGTTTTCTTGAATGAATGATTTTCACTTGCTTGTAGAAAGTTGTTTTAAAAAATTGGTGAATTTGAAGGAAATGGTGATATTGGAATCTAACGTAGTGTATTATATATACTTAACATGTGAAGCCTTATACTCTCCGTTTTGACGTAATCCATGGCTATGCAAAACTGCACGTGTATTCTTTTAAAGCAAACGCCATCACTCCGAATAAAGAATTATTTGCTACCAAAACATATACAATTTATACTACGGAAGCCTTGCAGCTTCAGGATAAGTCATAGCGTGAAGAGAAAACCTTCATTGTTCCAAAACAATAGCGTTTTTAGTTCAATTTAGTTTAAGTTCTTCAGCATGTTTTTTCAAAGTGCGAAATCGGCGATGACTAAGACTTTTTACGCTTATGAATAATAGAAGACGGCGATAACATCTTTGAGGTGACGGAGGACAGTGTCTGAACTTTCGTTGGTCAGCCGAGCTTATTTCATTTTTTATCTAGAAGATATTCCAGACATCATCCAACTTGAAATTCAGATTAAGACCTAATAAATTTCAAAATGTTTAATTAATAAACGTAATGTCACTATCAGTGAGGCATGAGAAGAAATAACTATTCAGGGAAACCAAATGAAAGTAATTGCATGGTACTAAAAAACAATGAATTTCACTGCGCGCGGGTGTGAACTGCGCATGACTCTCGGCCTGTTACGCATGTTTACACAACAGACGAAGAGCTTTCGAATATTGACAACAGTTTAGCGCACGCTCGATCATTGCAAACTTGGATCTGACACAACAAAGATAGCTCGGTGACATTTTCTTTACACGTTGGTTTCTTGCCTAATATATTGGTGTTGTTTGCTCATTGTGCGGCACATTCAATGCAAGTCCCGGCCACATTTTATTTACAATACTTTTTTACATGAATACGAGCTTTCTTGCTTTGAGTGAAATTTTCCAGTTTTGGTGCAGGCCTTTCGGTTAGGAATAATATAACCGATTTTCCGTTTTTTGCTGAATATTTCTAGTAGATTCAATGGAAGATGATAAGAAAACAAGAATTAAAAAAAGTTCCTAAATTTTACAACGCTGCAGCACACGTACGAACTAATGACTAGAGTGCTAACAATGCAACACGTACGTTGTACGTCTGAAATACTCTAGACGAAGCTATTCTTTCCTATAAACGAACTAATAGCGAGCTTGCGTCTCAAATGAGAGCTTTTGATTCAAAATAGTGCAGAGAATAGAAAATTTCCCGGTCACAATCAAAATTTTCAGTTTAATTCTTGCTATCCGAATTTGAAGTTTGGAAAATATACAGTATGTCTCGGATTTAGTACTGCATGTACTATTGAATGATATTAGTTTGTTTGAAAGTGAACTCACAGGTGCTGCAGACATCCCACCAAAGTACTAAATCAGTTAAAATTAGTTGATGCTTTTGCTCCAGTACCTAATGCTAATTGGTGTCGTTTTGACTCGCAGTGGTGGGTAGTATGTGACCTAATTTTGTTTAAGTAGATAGCATTAGTAATTAGTTTCGAGAGGAAAGTTAGTAAGGAACTCTTACGGAAGCAAATATTTCTAAGATAAGCGCACGACTCGACCAAGTGGGTAGAGAATTAGGGCCCGCACAGTGGGACACGTCAATTATTTTATATACTGAAAATAATATTGAGATACAATTTGAGGTAGTTATAGCACACAAGTTGGTGCATTGATTGATGTGGTAGAGAGATGTGTTGCCCTGTCCTTCATTCCTCAGTGAGCAACTTTTGTTTTTAGATAAGGTAGAAGTGAGCCAGCTAAATAATTTGCTATGCATATTAAACGTAATGAGACTGCCCATTTTGCGAGTTAAATCTTTCCTGTGTGATTAATTGCCATATAATATGTTAAAAATTATTTACACAAGAACGGAGTCACCGGATTACTTGATATACAAATTGCTGCCGAATGTTTCCAATATGTTGGTTTGGGGTACAATGAAACAGTGCCCACGTTCCAGGACTTGCTAATTATTCAAGCCGGGACCTTAATTGCAATATGAAAATGAAATTGTCCGTTCGCCGCTAAATATTCGTTGAAAGAGATATTTGGCTCTTATAATCATCTTCCTTAGAAGAAAACTTTCATCTGTTACATAATTCATCTGATGCAATAGAAGAAATAGTGCAAGAAAATGTTCAAAAATATTTCCGGCCAATGCAGAAAGAACGAAAGCTTCATGATATTATTCTTGTGTAATTTGGTTTCACTAAGCCAAAAACAGACTACGTAGGCTGGATAAAAAAGCAAAAAGATGAAGATAACGAATTTGAAATATTCTCCCTGCGCTGTATAGAGTATTTTTTGTGTTTCCTGGTATAGCTAATTTAGTATGGGAGACATCAAATTCACTCTGAGCAACTGTATTATATATATGGAAGAATGTGAAGAATAAACGGTAGTAGCCACATAGCATCTAGTGCTGGTGGCATCACGATGTGACAACATCAAGTGCTGGTGGCATCACGATGTGACAACATCAAGTGCTGGTGGCATCACGATGTGACAACATCAAGTGCTGGTGGCATCAGGATGTGAATGTTGGATGTGGGATTTCATTTCTTTGTATTTTGGAGTTTGTGCGGTCTAAATTATGTTAGATATTTTGGTAGCTCAATATTTATTTGTGAGTTCTAAAATTTTCGAGTGTATAGCGCGTTTCGTAGCCAGTTTACCGCCCGTAGCTCTTATTTCCAGTCGAAATCTATTTTCACGATGGCAAAATTTTAACGTTGCAAGTGACATTAAAAAACTCGATGGTCAACTTTTGGGAGGCTTGAAATTTCGAGTGAAATAAAGTAAATAATTAGTGTAAATTAGTTTTGTATCCCTGACGACTGACTAATTGTTATTGTTATTGTATTGTAATTGTTATTGTACCAAGTTTAATGTTCTATAGTCTCAATTTACAAAGAAAAATGGAATTCAGAACTAAGCAATAATCCCTTTGCATGATTTTTCACATTGGAAAACGTTACAATACAGTGAGTAAGAGTCTGACCCTGACACCACGAAGCTAAGTCGTACTTGTACTACACTTACACAATAGTGATAAACACTACTGTTGTTTTCTTCGCTCGAGAATCTGATTATCTGATTGAATCTAGAAAGCGCTGAGGCTAATTAAACTTTTAGCAACTGATCACAAGCGGTTATCTACTTAAAAATATTCCACATGGTACATATTTCAAGAACACACTGTAATCATTACACTACGAAAAAAATTACGTGCCGTGCCTGCCATCCGAGACTCCGAGTGAAAGTTGCAATATGTTTCGAGTTCAATTCTCATTTTCTCAGTTGACAAGTGAATTTGTGGAGAGCGGACGATGGCGGATGTTGCTCGAGAAGTTTCCGTGGAAGAGCTAATAGAAAATGCTCGGAAGAAGTTTTCCGACACTTTTAAACGATCACCAACGGTAGCAGGCATTGCCCCAGGAAGAGTAAATATTATTGGAGGACACACAGATTACAATGAAGGTTTCGTTTTCCCTATGGTACGTATTTGTGGAGTGGTGGTACAGGTTTTCCGGTGACGGAGGAAAATTTCTTAACCTAATTTCTTGACTCGTTATTTTCATGCATCCCAGATAGAAGTGACTGCGGAAAACATCTATAATTGGAAAATTGAAGCGAACTCAGTGTGCTATTGCAAAGATTTCTGTACGTAGATTTCTTAAAAGATTTTTGCTCTTCTCGGACCACATCGACTCTGTTGGGACGAATTTCCATAGCAAGTTTTCCACGCATAAAATTGCCAAATCGAAACCGATCAGGACCAACTTAGAAACTTGGATATTTATAGACTCTCTTGTATAACCACCCCGTAACAAGATAAGTTTTCTGACAGATGGTGTCTTACTTATCCCTCACGAACTTGGTCTTCGATTCCCTGTCCCCAGATTCAAGTTTGGAGGCCCATAAATGTCATACGGACATATAAATCGCAAACGAAGGCAAAATCGGAACGAAGGCGACATAAACATCACCGTCAGGTCCTAATGAAAGCATGTACAAAGTTGCATCGAGCTGCGTTCATTAGTTTGAAAGATATTTTATGTTTGTCAGACGGCCGGAGAAGTGTCCGAGATATAAAATTATCTGATATCAGTTGCAACTAAAGCAACGATAAGAAATTTGGTATTGTAATGAAGCTGGTTGCTTCCTTGGGTTCTTTCCTAACAAGTGTGAGGTACTCTCCTTCAAACATTCCTATTAATCAATAAACGTTCATTCAAACAGGTCTTAATGGAACAGTAAAAATTAATACAAAAGAACATTATCAGAGGTACACTAAATATATACTCGTAGCGTTACAGATACAAATTACGGGTAGCGGCTTAACCGTCTCAACATGAGATCACACAGGCCCTATAATTCTAGACTCCTTGATCCGCGAGGACATCCCTGACATGATCTTCAAGCTGGACCTTCAATCAGGTCTATGGCCCGCTCTCCAGAAGTACACAAGACTCCAGCTCAGCAACCCTACACGTGAAATAAATCATATTTCAAGCCTGACTTCTTATGCTCATTAAATACGAAATGATAATCACGGTTGAATTAATTCCTAATTTACGCATAATTATAACCAATCATTTAATTCACTATGTTCACACTATAAATTAGTGGTGTAACTCACCAATAAAGGCAGTGATTGTCAGCTATGCTAAAGTCACTATAAAGGTGCGCTACAGCAAGTTGACAGTACCGCAATAATAGGTTGCTCACTGTGTAACTACCGGCTTCCAACTGACGTGTCGCGGTCGATCCCTATTGTCGCCTCCCATTCAGTGCCTTCTAGAACTTATTTTACATTCCTAATTTTACATCCTTACAGGAATCAATAAAATGCTGGTTTGAACCGAGATAAAAATGTTATTTTTTTCCTCTCGGTTTTGATTCATAATTCTCTACTTATTTCCTTCAACACTCACTTTATTATCGCAATAGATTTAATTATCTCTATTCTGACAATGCTCCATAGGCCCTGCCGCTGTACACGGTGGTTGTGGGCGGTCCTTCCGACGACGTTGGGAGGTGCCGGGTGGTGACTCTGGCTGCGGGTGCCGACGACCCTCGTGACGTTGAGTTCAGCACTCCTACGTCAGAGCAGCCCCTCACCAGGAGTGATGCTCCGGCGTGGGCTAATTACGTCAAAGGAGTCGTTGCCAACTTCCACGGTTTGTAGTGACATTAGTTACCCTGACCCTGTCTTATCTGTTTGGTATTTCTGATCCTGGAAACGCGCGATATTTCGTTAAATAGGAGTTCATTCAGTAAAAATTTGTATAAAATGGGTTTAATGGTTCAACAATAGATTTCGAATCGGCTTTCTGTATTTAGCTCGGTATTGTGGTATTTTAATGTTATACAAAAGTGTTTTTAAGAATAAATGCATACTACTCCAACGCGTCAGCCATAAATTCAACGATCATTCAGTAAAACTAAGTTTTTTTAGACATCGCTCACTTGCTCATGTTTTGAAAAGATTACTGCTTCGCCCGAAGATCGCAAGCAGTGGGAGCGCTAATTTTCCTTTATATCATTTTTAATTTGAGATAAATGAGTCATTGGCGTCTTAGACGACATCTGCTCGGAGTTTTGGCGCCTTTCCAAGTAACGAAGGAATAAGAGACGTTTGATTGTTTCAATTGAAACAACTCTCCTATTTAACACGTTTTCTGGTATCGAAAATGTGTTGCAGTTTTGAAATTAGTTCGTTGCTCATATTTTGAGCAGTCAAGAAAACGTTTTTTACTGTCGCGGAATAATTTTATTACAATAAAATATGTAGCCGGCGTTCTTCGGATAAGATACCTCGAAATGTATTGTACAAAAATTATTGCGCGGCAATAAACAGTGACGAAATTTTTCAGATCTTTAAAATCAGATCTTTAATTACAAGAAGTATATCCGATGATGTAATTATGTAAGTGGTATGAAATTAGTTTTCAAACTTGAATAACGATTTTATTTTGAATGCACTGCATTTGAAAGCACTTTTAACTTATCTCTGCTAAATATTGCCGGTATTGTGCATAAAGCGCAAGGGGATCCAACTTGTTGGTGGGGAGCTCGGTATTTGTCTTTTTTTAACTCAAATCAATAGTTTTATTTTGAAAGCATTGAAGTGAATAAGAACGATGGTATCGTGCAGGGAACTTGGTGGGGTTCAACGCGGTGGTGGCCAGCTCGGTGCCCCTCGGTGGGGGCCTCTCCAGCAGCGCCGCCCTCGAGGTCGCGACCTACAGCTTCTTAGAGGCTCTCACCCAGTCACCTGCTCAGAGGTAAGGCTTGGTTCCTGGTAATGCTTAGACTATTTATTTTAACCATCTGATCCTTATCATCATTACCTTCGCAATATATACGTAGTTAGTTCAGTAGTTTATCAGTTTTTCATCCAATCTATATCATCTTGATTGACACGCTAAGCGAACAATCAGTACCTTTGCCATACATCAAGTTGTCATTACCACCTTCTTATTATCATCATTACCTTTGACATATATACCAATTATCATTATCATCTGATCCTTATCATCATCATCAATGTGATACATACCAATTACCAATATATTCTGAGACATATCATCGTTATTGCTACGTATAGTCTCATGTGTCCGATTACCATTATCATATGTGATCCTTAGGGGCATTACCATTGTCATACATAATCTTGCCATACCAAATCGACCATGCCTAATCTAATCCGATAAATTTTCATTATGCGACAGGATGCTTCACAATATTTAATTTCAGTATATTATTCGACATATCGCCAAGCAATCTGTCTTATCTTGCTAACCAAGTCTGGTCAAAAGCAAGCGCGGAACCCGGTTGTGCGACCATCGTTGCATATTGTGACCTCTGCATGAGGCGGAACTGATTCAGTCAGTCGAAAAAGTCCTTTAGAAATGAGCGAATCGCATAACAACTAATTATGATGCAGTCTCTGATTCACGAAGTACCTATGACGTCAGAAAATTCTTATATTTGTTTTGCAATCCAGAGGATTAATACGAGAAAATGTTTTTACCTGGTGGATGTATGCCATTTTAGTTGTTTGGGATTTATGTTCTTGAAGTATTTTGATTCCATCAAGTTTAAAGTCGAGACTCTAGAGTCTAGACAACTCCTCTACATTCATGACCAGTTTAAGAATAAAGGCTAAAACCAAAAAAGTTGCATAAAACATTTTACTGAATAGAAGTCCTAGATAAATAAAACAGAACGTTTCGGGCTATGCCCATCATCAGCTAGTAAATACATCTGGAAATACATGGAAATGAATTTTAGTACATAAATTTAGAAAATGATAAGGAAAGTAAGGGAAAAAAAAACTATTGACCTAGAATCGAAAGAGGAAAAGAGCTGGATTGGTTATTCAATTTAGGTTTAAGTTTATGGATGTAAAGAGATTCTAAAATTCGTAAATCGGTTTGGCTGCTAGCGTTAACTGAGCAAGTGGACGCCCAGTACGGAAACTTCTTCCAGCATGTTCGGCAACTCTGGTGAAAAGTGCTCGTGCGGTCATACCGACGTAGCTAGATGCACATTGTACACAACTGAAAGAATACACCAGAGAAGCCGAACATGCTGGAAGAAGTTTCCGTACTGGGCGTCCACTTGCTCAGCCGCCTCATTCGTCAGTCAGACTTCATACAAAACAGTGCTCACTTGCTCCTTCCGTGTCCATCGATCAATTTAAAATTCTTTGTAACGCTAGCAGCCAAACCGATTTACGAATTTTAGAATCTCTTTACATCCATAAGCTTAAACCTAAATTGAATAACCAATCCAGCTCTTTTCCTCTTTCGATTCTAGGTCAATAGTTTTTTTTCCTTTCTTTCCTTTTCATTTTCTAAATTTATGTACTAAAATTTATTTCCATGTATTTCCAGATGTATTTACTAGCTGATGATGGGCATAGCCCGAAACGTTCTGTTTTATTTATCTAGGACTTCTATTCAGTAAAATGTTTTATGCAACTTTTTGGGTTTTAGCCTTTATTCTTAACCTGAGAAGAACTCCTCGAGATATTGTGAACTACATTCATGACCAGATATAAACGTAGAACTAATTTTCTAAATTGTGAAAATATATGTAAATTTTTCTTCAAGAGTCACTCAAAATTAAAAATATTGTACGTACAGCCCACGCGAGAAAGCTCTGGCCTGTCAGCGCGCGGAGCACGACTTCGCTCTCATGCCGTGCGGCATCATGGACCAGTTCGTCTGCAGCATGGCCGAGGCTGGCAACATTCTTCTCATTGACTGCAGGTGTGACGGAACCTGAATTTTATGAAATAATTTTTTTTAGAACGTAGTATTGTCTGGACTTTGAAGATCAACTTCATTAAGAGATTTGAGTTTTCATATTATCTATTACGTTAAAATATGACTCAATAATGATTGAATGTATTTATTTTATGACTGTAATGTGAAATCTCGTCTAGCAGTGATATTTTTTGGATTTAGTTATTAGCGTCTTGGGACGAGACTGAATGTGTAGCTCCAACCTGATTGGTTGAGCTGCTCCTGGCCTGGCGACGGTGCGCGCTAGATAGTCATGAACGATGGAGAGTTTGGTCACTTTGGAATTAGTTTAACATTATTTGACTTTTAACTGTGATTAGTTTGCCAAATGATTAAAAATATGATGACTTTACTGTATCGTATTATATTATCAATTTTTTTGCACTTAGAAAGTGTTTACGGTCTGTTTTGTACATTGTAACGGGATGTTGAGGTAAGCTCATTTTGGCGGAGTTACCCCTCGCGCAGAAGTTGTGAGAAGTTTTGTGTGTTCAGTGTTACTGGGTTGAGGTGAAACGGTTTCGACTCGAAATAGGGAGAGCCAAATTTGGGCTCCCAAGAATAAACCCCACCGCAGTTCTGGGCATAACTCTTAATGAGTTCCACCGGACTAATAACGGCATAGGTGGAGTTCTTGGATAGTTCCGGATTTTGGCTGCCTTGGGCGGTGAACAGCAGTTCAATTCGCACCCTCGTGGTAGAGGCTAATAACCTCTGCGCTCGAGTAAATTGTCAGCGGCTTATTGGAGGCTCGTACCCTTCAATAGTCGTACTTTTGAGGCGTAACTGCCACCCCGGTTCTGTGTTCTTGGCAGTGCATTAGGGCTCGAACCCCTGATCATTGCGTTGGTTGTCGGCATTGTGGTTCGGCTCGTACCCGTATCCTTGCTGTCCACTCCTGTAAGGTTGTCAGTTTTGTGGTGCGGCTCGTGCCCGTATCCTTGCTGTCCGTTCCTGCGAGGTTGTCAGTTTTGTGGTGCGGCT